GGGGAGAGGGGTGCAACAATGAATGAATGGAATTCCAAAATCTCTGTAGATGTTCATTGAAATGAAAAATAATGAAATTTTTTAAAAAAATTCCCAAACTTCTATCCATTCCCCCTTAAAATACCATTAAATAAATAAGTAATACATAATTATATGGAGAGGGAGATTTGGTAATCTAGTGGTAAGAAGCTGTACTGCAATCTCAAAGTCACGCTGTTTGAGTCTACCTACCACCTTTTCTGCAGGAGAAAGATAGACAATCTCCTCCTGTGAGATTAATTGCCTCTGAATAGTTGCAGGAGGGTCAAGTATGCCTGGGTTCTGACTTAATGATATACAACAACAACAATAATTGTATGGAGAAGGGATGTCATTCTGTAACACAAGTTTTCTGATTTTACATCACATACTGTTCTCTTGTTTTGTTTAGACAACTGCTTCTTAGTCTATGTATAGGTTTCACCTGAGCAAAATTTTTTCTGAATTCCCATTCTCAATATTAGTCATTTGATTAACACAGTCAAATGTTTTTTTGCATAACAATAAAACACTCTTTTGGAAAAAGTAAAAAAAAAAAAAATCATTCCCTAAATTCCAGTCACAAGTACTGTCCTTCTCACCTCCCCGTTTGTGTTTGTCTTGCTCGTCTGCCTATATATTTACTTGCACTAATGTTTAATATTATTATGGTAATTGAGTAATAGTTGAGTAATAGTGTTTACTTTTGATGATTCTTTTGGACTATTTTATAACTTCTAGATACTATACTATGTTCAAATATGTTATCTGAGTTAATCCTTAGAGTAATATAATGAGATAATTACTATCATTACCATCATTTATCAGACAAAATTTAACTTTCTACATGTCACAGCAGAGATAGGTTTCCATCCATAACTCTGTATTTGATGAATTTCCTAATCAGAGCAATTAAACAAAGCAACTTTTTGGTAAATGAAATTCTCACAGGTTGATGGTGCCAGAGCCACAGCACAGCAAGATGGAGGATAGAGAAGAGAAAAAAGGAGAGCATTCTGGACCTGTTCAAGCACATCGACAAGATCACCAGGGTGAAATGTCAAGGAGGACATGAAGCTAGTGGAATCCTGAAAGTATTCAACCTCGTTCTCAACCTTGTGCTGGACATCACCATTGAATACCCGATATCCCAAACTATCAGAGGATATGAGGCATTTTGGGTGGTAGTGTACCATGGTATTCCACCTATTGCAGGAGGTCATCCTCAACCCCTTGATCCAGCAGCAAGAATCCTAGCGCGGGGGGGGGGGGAGGGAAGGGGGAACTCAACAATGGAGGCTACTCTCAACCCTTTCATGGAGAAGCAGGATGCCTAGGGGGAGATAGTAGGCAAATGTCCGTCCCTTCTCATGGAGGACATTCCTGATCTCTTCATCCAGTAGCAGGACATCAAGAGGGGCCCCCCATCCCCTGGGAGGACATCTCCAACTCCTTCATCCAGGAGCAGGATGCCAAGAGGGGTACAGTGGGGACATGCCGCCGGCCCCCGCCCCCATGGAGGACAGCCCCACCCCTTCATCCAGAAGCAGGATGCCTAGGCGGGCACAGTGAGGACACCCCCCTTCCACAATCGAGGACATCTCCAACGCCCTCATCCAGAAGCAGGATGCCAGGAGGGAACAGTGGGGCATGCCCCCCCACCCCCATGGATAACATCCCTAGCCCCTTCCTCCAGCAGCAGCACACTTGGAGGGCCACATGGTGAGAACTCCCTCCCTCCTCTACTGGTCCACCAGACAGAGCCCTTTTTCTTTTTGCATATTTTTTCTGTTTTGTTAAAAAAACTGCAAAACACACATATAAAAAAAAAAGGTTGATGGTGATTCTCCTTCTCCTTTAAACTTTTCCTACATCCTTTGCCTTTCTTTAATTTAAAGTCATTCATTGTTGCACATTGTCCTCCCTCCCTCAGTCCACTTTGCAATGTACTTCTTTTTTTTTCTTATTCCATATTGTTGTTATACATAATCGTATATTGCTTTCAAACAGTTCTTTCTTGCATCTGTTTCAATGCAGTGTTCATTATCTGTCCACTCTATTCCTGTTCTCTTCTCAGGCCCCCATGTCAGTCCTGTTTTATAACTGTGGTATTATTCAGTATTTGTCTGTCTTCAGCAGAATTTTGCTTGCATGTGAAATCAATGACACTGTTCTGTAGTTTCCACACTCAGTTGGGTCACCTTTCTTTGGAATGGGAACAAATATAGATCTCTTCCAGTCAGTTGGCCAAGTGGTTCACTTGTTGTAGTGTGTCTGAATAACTTGAGAGTGTCTGTTAAAGTATACATTCAGAACCTAAATTATTAGAAGTTATACCATGACTGTTATTTTGGTTAGATGCCATCAAGTCAATTACAATTCACAATGATAAGAACTGGAAAAGTAAAGAAAACATAAAAATCTCACATTTGTTCAGGTCCGCTTCTGCCACCCTGATGTTGATGTATGCAAAGATTTTCTGTGGGTTTCCTAAAAAGAAGATAAATTTATTTACATTCTGAATCAGAATGCAATGCAAAATTTAAGCTTCTAAATAAAACGTAAAATGCTCATGGAAATGTATAATTTCAAAGACAAAATCTTATTTATCTTTACCAGTTATTAAGACTCTATTTTTCTTAGCATGATTATCAGTACATTCTAAATAGAAATTAGGAAAAAATGTCAAATTAGTCACTTAAGGAAGCATCTTGATTATAAATTAGTGCTAGTGTACGCAGAATGATAATAAGCCAGTGTTAGCATGTCAGCTCTGAACACTATTAAAGAATCACATATGTAAAAAATTCCAAAAGAACAAAACAAAAAAAATCACACATGTTGGAATTTTGATTTTTTTTCTGATTTCAATAGCATAAATCTGGGAAAGTTCCACATCATAACCAGGAGCAGATATGTGGGGGCGCAAGAATGGTATTAAGGGTGCAAAATATCCTGTAATCAAGTAAAGAGCACTTTCAGTTTCAGGGCTAATAATCATGTACATAATTTCTTTATTTTGCATTAAGTATTTGATGTAGTTGAGACTGTCTTTATCCAATGAAGATGTAAACTCACCTTGCTCATCTTTGCGTGTGATTATCTCCACATCAGAAACTTCTCCAAATCTGCTGAACTGATTTTGCAGATCAGCCTGGGAAATGGCCTTAGTAAGCCCGCCCACAAAAAGTCGCTTCATTTCTCTGTCAGCTTTTGTGAGTTCTTGTGAAGAAAACATTTTTCTTTAGGCTGTGAAGGAGAGAAAGGAAAAGAAAAAAGAATCTCTTTACACATAGATATACAAGTGCAGGTAAGTATTACCCTCCAATAATCACATTGCTATATTATTGTATTTCTGCATTCATTACTTATTATATTGCTAAATATTTTTCTTGTGTACATTTTAAAAAAACACTTAGGGAAATAATATGGAGCACATGATATACCAGGGGGCAAAAAGCAGACCTTCTCACAGAGAAGTAAACAAAAACTGCAATTAACACTATCATGTCCCAATACAAGTGTCTTCATGTAATGCGTCAGCATAAAGAGCAGTAACAACTATAGCTGTTAAAAATGTGTATACTACATGCCACCCTACACCCTGTATACATCCTCTCATTTAAAGTACACATCCACATACTCATGTTCCATTTTCAGATAAGCAAACCGGGGATCAGAGATTATAAATCTTTTTTAATGCCACAGAGAAAATAAGTGGTAGAGCGAGGATTATAATCCAGTCCTAATTTCAGAAGCCAGCACTCTTAACAGTATACATTGTTCTTGTGTTGTCTCGAGTTAGAACTGTATACTGCACTACACCATATTAAAAGGAAATGAAGCTGTCCTATGGCTCAAAATTAGGAAAGGAGTGCATCATGGATATGTCCTATCTTCATACCTTTTCAGTCTATATGCAGAACAGATCATCCAGGAGGATGGACTTTATGAGGAGGAATATTAAGATAGGAAGAAGACTCATCAACAATCTGTGTTATGCAGATGATACAACTTTACTTGCTGAAACTGAGGAGGACCCGAAGCGTTTGCTGCAGAAATTCCAGGACTGCAGTCTTAAATATGGATTGAAGCTCAACATCAAGAAGACAAAGATTCTTACCATAGGGCTAACTGGCATGATAGATGATACCATGATAGAGGGAGAATTGTTTGAGACTGTTAAAAATTTCAACCTGTTTGTCTCTGTTAAGTCTGGGCAAAGGGAGCCAAAGAGAAGAATGAAGCATTCAGAACTCAACTGCTGATGGCCTTGCCTGTTGCTGAAAGGAAGAGCAAATGGTGTTGCCAAGCTAGCAGGTGGCTCTTAAATAAGAGTGGAATGTGTTTATAAAAATCCTCCCCAGTAAGTTCACAGTGTGACTTCCCATTCTGCATCTCCAGGATGAGGAACTCACCCAGAAGCTCTCCCGTTCCCCCCTTTAATAAAGCTGCATTAAGCTTTCTTTCGTTCTCTCTGATTTCTTCTTTAAGTTGGCTAGCTTAACAGTTTCCACTATCAACACTCCTGGCACCAGCCGTCAGGAAATCAAAAGACAAACTGCACTGGGAAAATTTTATGTCAGGGACCTCTCCAGAGTACTGAGAAGATGATGTCAGTCTAGAAACTAAGGCACGTCTATCCGGGCCATGGTCTTCGCAATTACTTGTTGTGTGTCAGAGAACTATGACTAAGGATGAGAGAAAATAAAAAAAAAAAAGAAAAAAAAAAAGGATGAGAGAAAAATCGTTGCCTTTAAGTTGTGGTGCTTGAGAAGAGTCTTCAACATACCCTGGACATCCAAGAAAACAGCCAAGTCTGTACGGTAGACAATGAAACCAAGTCTCTCTTTACAGGCTAGGATTTTGAAGCTCCTTCTCACATATTTCGGGCACATGGCCAGGAGGGACCAATCCTTGAAGAAGGACATCATGCTCGGAAGGGTGGAAGGATGGAGCATGAGAGGAAGTCCCTAGATGAGACGGATTGATACTACTGGGGCAACGGCGGTAGGTGAGTGTAGTCAGTGAGACTGGCTCAGGACAGGGCAGGCGTCATAGCTGTTGTCACTATTAGTCAGACAATATATATTTTTTTTCAGAATGAGGTCTGATATGAGCTCTCTCACCCCATTCAGAACCAGACATTCAATCACTGTGCACCTGGTCTTCCGTGGTTGCTGACACAGTTGTGTCCAGCCCGACTAAACGAATGCCATCAAGCCCAGAGGCTAAGGCTTCCCGACAGCCGCCTCCCCATTCTCAATTTACCTGATGCTGCACCCTTCTTTCAAGAAGTACTGAAGAGAACAGAGCCCAAAAGCCCACTCCTGAGCACGGCACAACACCTCACCAGGTCTTCTCCGCGCACGCGACTTCCCCGGCTCTAAACTGTTCACGTGACCCTACCGGCGCGTTCCCTTTCTTTTCCTCCCACATCTCGTGCCTGCGCCAGAAGGTTCCGCTTACTTTTCTATCCCGCGCTCTCACCCACCGTCTGAGTCACTGCAAGCCTCGCCCCTTTTCTAGAGGAGTTTATCATAAGGACTATCGCAGTAACTAACTGAAGAGCTGGAGCTCTGGACCGGCGCCTCCTGTTGACGTCATTTCTGTTCCCGCCAAGGCGCTGTCCCCTCGGGTGCGTTGCGAGTTCCCCTGAAGGAACTGAGAGGTGAGGTTACGCTCTGGTCCTCAGTGCCGGGCCTTCTTAGGTATATCCGAGCCCAGGTGCATAGTGCGTCTACGGCCGAGTGCCACTGTCCGATCGCCACTGTGTGATAGCTGAGTGCGCATTCCTACCTTGCCTTCCTAGTCCCCCAGACTAGCTTGGGACGTGGTCCGCGAGGCGAGCGGGAACTGGGAAGCCGCGCCTCTCTGGGGTCAGATCGCGATGGCAGCCAGGTGGGCCGACTGAGGGCCGTTTGCGCACACTGTTACCAGTGGTTCACGGCGTCCTGGCGGGGAGCCGGAGCCAAGTACAAGCCCTCCGCGCCTCCTGCTTCTCCTGGCAGCCCTCGCGCAGCCTTTGTCCTAGATAAAGTAAGCTAGATAAAGCCTGGAGGGCGCTGCGCAGCCAAGGGCGGTGGGCGGGGATATCCTCACAGTCGGTCCTCCAGCACCCAGCTCAGTCTCCGAGCTAAATGGGGCATCCCAAAAGATGGACGTGTTGCAGGCACTCAGTCACTCCATCTCATGCAGGGTCTTACCCTTTGTCAGTGGCCATCTACTTTCCCAAGCAAGTGTTTCTCCAGGGGCCAAGCCCTTCAGATGACATGTCCAGTCCAACGGATGTTAGACAGGTCTTGGTTTCTAGGGAGCATTCAGCTGCACTTCTCCCAAAAAGCTATTTAACTTTGAATGACATAATCCAAAGGTTATCAGTTCTTATTCTTTAACATTTTCCATTGAAAATGCCATTTTATTTGTTATGTACCATCAAGTCGAAGCTGACTCATAACTGACCCTCCAGTGAGTTTTCAGAAGCAGTAAATCCCACACGGAGGAGATTGCCTATCTTTTTTCCATAGGAACAGCTGGTGGGTTGGAACTGTTTACCTTTGTATTGGTAGCTCAACTCCTTACAAAAAAGCCAGCAGAGCTCCCTGAAAATTCTATGGCTGAGGTAAATACCTTAACTGAACCAAGGCCTGGGGACCTGGAAGTCTCCCTCCACTCTAGAAGTCAGCTGGCTGACTGGTGGTCGTCTTCATGGTGGTTTCTTCTTGATGGCAGTCAGGCAAGGGAAGTTTCTGGGGTTCTTTTTGTTGTGTGATACTTTTCTTTTCCCTCCCTCAAAAAGTGAGTGGCCCTTGAACCTTAGACTAAGGGTAAGGGTGGAGCCCTGCTCAAGGGTGTGGATTTAAAATCCTGTAGGATTTTAAAATATATTAATTTTAGAAGAATGTTCTTTAAAAGACACAACAATCATTTGTCTATTTGCTGTACTGAACAGCTTGGAGTTGCTGTGATGCTGAACACTCTCCCATAGTCATGTCAAATACCATAATGGTTACTCATTATGTACAATGGTTGGTTGAGCTTCCACATTGATTCATGTTGGGAAGCAGGAGTGGCATCCACTTCCTAAACTAGGTGCCTCTGGAAACTCTGCAGATTCTCTCATAATTGTATTAATCTTAGAACAGAGTTCAGGTCTTTTGTGCAAAGCTTACTCTGAGTCTTATTTGACTTGACAACACTTAACCACTGCTAAATGAGACTAGTGCTGTTTTATCTGGAGGAACATTCTTCCACATTGCACATCACTCTTTGTCAATGTGCTATATGAGATAACTTGGGTTTTGCTATGATGCTAAACCTTGTGCCATGGGGATATAAAATACCAGAATGGTTTCCCATTGTGGACACTGTTTGGTGGAGCTCCTAGTTGTAAACCGATTTGGAAGCAGGAGTGGCATCCACTTCCTAAACCACATACCTCTGGAAACTCTGAACTTGGAGAAACAATGGTAGCTATGGGAACACATTTTATTCATAGTGTTGCTATGAGTTGACCTCAACTTGATGACAATCAGCAAAAACAAGGTAAATACATAAGATGTGTGTGATCTAGACCTTGGTCTTCACAATTACTTGCTGTGCATCAGAGAGCTGGACAGTGAATAAGGATGACAGAAGAACCAGTGCCTTTGAGTTGTGTTGAAGAAGAGCATTCAGCATATACCATGGTCTGCCAAAAGAACAAACAAGTTGGTCCTGCATAGGGTGAAACCAAGTTTCTCCTTGGAGGCAAGGATTTTGAAGCTCCGTCTCATATTCTTAGGGCATGCTGCAAAGAGGAACTGGTCCTTGGACAAGGACATCATGCTTGGAAGGGTAGAGGGGTGGTGAAGTTGAACAAGAGTCTGGATGAAATGGATTGACACAGTGACTGGAGTAATTGGGGCAGGTGTGCCAGAGAAAGTGAGATTGGCTCAGGATAGGGCAGGGTTCAGGGGTGAGGATTGACTTGGATGCATAGGGTTGCTATGAATTGCAGATGACTTGAGGTAATATAACAACAACAAGCTAAGTATTTTAGTCATCAAAATGACATTATCAAGGGTGATGATTTCTGACGAGGTTTTGGGATCTCTTTGAGTAAGAACTAGAAAGTTCTGACTCAACTGTGAAATTATGATAAGTTGTTGTTGTTATGTGCCGTCGAGTCGTTTCCAACTCATAGCGACCCTATGCACAACGGCCCTA